TCTTCTTGTAACTCTTAAAGAGTTAAGAAGAAAGCAAGCCTCGCGCCGTCGTCGTCGTCGCTCTGCTCGGCTCTGCTTCGGCTTCGGATTTGGATTTGGATTTGGTCAAATGATCGATTGATTGATTAATTTTTTGGACCAAATTTATTTGTTAATAGTAAATATTAACGTAAGATTATCCGCATTTGTAACGGATATTTTTCAATCCGTGTATTGACCATTTGGCAGCCGCCTAATGCTCTTCCCCCCATGAATGTGCTTGCTCCACAAATATGANCATGGAGGGTGGAGGGTCATTCATCTTCAAAGCTGACTGCTATAAATATGTGCAGTAGCTGTTGAAGAAAGAGGCACCAAACTGAAAACGCTCAACTTTGGCTATACATTGCACTCCTTCCTCTCAGCATTTCCATATGATTTTCTGAGTTTCTACTCCTTTGTTCTGCATTGTTTTAACTTCAAACAAAGCAACTGTAAGTGTGATTTGCTATCGAACTTTGTGTTCGCTGAAACACTGGGGTTTGAAGTACCGCTACACCAGTGTGTGATTCGTTCTATCATGGGAGGAAATAATCCATAACCTTGGGTACTAGGAGGGGATTAAATTCCTTAAGGAAACACTGTGAATTCAGTGGGCTCGAATTAATTACTGTTTCATTACGATAACTTATATTTCCCAGAATTATTATTTACAAATACAGCAATATTGGCGGGACTAACAAGACCTTCTTTTCCCTTCTTAGGGTTGTAAACAAAAGTAAATAATATCTCAGATTTCTATATTTATATGAACTTGTCATAGCGTAAGCTGTCAATTGACTTTCTCAGAGAAAATATTCTATCTCCATCATCATGTTTGCTAAGTAAATGATGAGTATTAAAGGGAATTATTTCTATGCAGAATATCACATTTGCCAGTAGATCTGATTTCTGTATGCTCTTTTAGGAAGATTTATTTTGCATTGGATGGCAGAATAGTGGTACTCAATCAAGGGATAAATGGAACCTCACGCTTTTCGGAGGTATGTTTATCTGTTTCTTATTTTTGTAACTGCAAATGTCAAGACTACCATGCTATGTTTGAATGAGTATGTTTTTGATTTAGAATACATACATATCAAAATTAATGTATTTAGAGAAAATAGAGATCAGAAATCGCATTTGGACAGGAAAATGGTTTGTGAAGTGAATTTGAATTCTGCAGAAAAGTACTGCTTCTAATACAGGCACTAATATGAGCTACATTACAGGGCATTATAACAAACCATTCACAGCTACTAAAACTGAGAAATTTCCAGCTCCAGTATACATTTGACATGGCAAAATTTCCAGAAAATAGTTTACTGTTTATATCATTTACGATGGAGCTAGAAGCTTTGCATACTTAGTTGAGGTCTAATACGTTATAGTTGCCATCACCAGATTATGCACCCAAAATGAAACCTCCTAAGACCCAATTGTTACAAAATTTCCAACTGAGGGCATCATGTCTGCTGCATCCTATCACCAGTAAAGACACATAAGAGAGACATATCTGATCTACATGGTTTGGGAAGAGAGGCACTGTTTTCTTTTTCTTTTTTTGGGAGCGGGGTTACATCCTGTATTCATTCTGGATTGCGGGAGTTCAGTGCAGACTGGGATGGAGACAAGCAAGTTGAATGTGATGAGGGTGGCAGTCTTTACGAGCTCTAAGGAGTCATTTAAAAATACGTATAAGGACATAATCCATCAGGATTTAAGTCCGCATGTGAACTCTATTAATTCATTTTTACAGCTAAACAGGTAACGAGGATTTGGATATGAATTTGGAATCGTCTGAGAAATCCTTCCATCCAAATAGCCCTTGGATTTTCTGTCATAAGGCAACTTTGTATGATTTTCCTCTTAAATTGTGTAGTTGAAGAGTAAAGATCATAATCAATTATATGTTTGTCCTTTGCTGACTACTTTTTCCTCCTTTTTTCTTTAACTAAAATGAATCGGACAAACATATGGTTGAATCTCTGTGAATTGTGCACCCTTTGCTGTCTGTAATTATTTCTTCTTTAACTCCATTTTGTGACCTTTTTTATGAACTATTCGCACTAATATGATCTATCTCAGAGGCCCAAACCATCTGAAAGCCCACAAAATGATGGGGAATTTATGCTAGTTCATGTGTATGTGTGTATTTTTTTTTTTAATGAATTGGTATTTGCTGTAAAATTGAATCATTTCATTTACGGTAGCTGGCTAAGATTATGACTGCAATATCACTTGTTTGTTTCATGGTTTACACGACGTTCACAATAATTGAGTTGTGAAATTTCAACACCAGCATTTTAGAGCTAAATTGCGACCTCTTGGAAGAAGTGGCAACTATTTATATCCAAACTACTGCTATTTTGTGAAAGAGGGGACTATATTTAAATAACTATTTGACACGACTATCTTTAAAAAATTAACCGACATTGTTCAGGGGCAACAACAACAACATACCCAATATTATACCACACCATGGGGTCTGAGGAGGGTAGTGTGCACGCAGACCTTACCCCTACCTTGTGAGGATAGAGAGGCTGTTTCCAATAGACCCTAGGCTGAGGAAATGACATTGTTCATGGGCGTGCTTTCTATTTGAGAAATGTGCATTTAGCACTCACGATAATAAGTGAGAGTGCTCTGCAACCTCGTTTTGTGATTTAATCCCAAATTCTCTCTCCAGCTCTTCTAAGTCTGTTAGAATTGGTCAATTACTGTGATAATAGTGATTAAAGTGCATCTGGATTGTTTCAATTACGTTGTATGTTTCCTTGGTTGGATTCTTTATCTTAAGGAACTTAAAGATTATTCTTTCATTATTGTCTCATTTTCTTCTAAAGTCTTGGAGGTATTCTGATGCTTGCAGATTTGGTACTCTCAAATAAGCTAGTCTTGTATGATCTTGAAAACCAGGCCATTGGTTGGACCGACTATAATTGTAAGTGTAGGTTATATCTGTTCGATATTTGCGCTATATTTTGGTACATTAGAATTAGATATTTTTGTTGTTCAATTCGTGTTACCCTTTGTTTTAATTTCAGCTGAATCTAGAGTGGCTCTACTGACCTAGATAAATGATCTATAATTTCATTGCAAAACTTTATATACTTATAAAGAAAGAAAAGAGCAGAAAATTTAGGAATGAATAGCTTGATTATTCCCTCAAGCATGTTAAATAGTGTTTACAAGTAATCCTAAAAAGCAAAAAAAGAATTCCGTTCCTACTTACACAATCATAGGGATTCGAGACCTTTCCCATAGTGAAAAGGAAACATTCCTAATTCTTATAATCTTCCTCAAGTTGGAGCGCACATATTGTATGCTCCTAACTTGCCGCAAATATACTCAATTCTGGAGCCACGCAGTGACTTTGTAAGAACATTTTCTAACTGGCTATTTGAGTTGACAAAAACCTGTTGCAACACACCCAAAGTCAATCTTTTGTTTGAAGCAATGTGCAGTGCAACTTGATTATCACAGATCAGTTACATTGGTGCATATCCCCACGTTAACCTTTTGATATGTGCCGAAGTGCTCGTCCAGTGTTTGAGTCATGACATCTTTTATATCTTTGGAAAGGTTTGATTCACTATTAACTCATCAAAAAATGTGTTTTGGTTGATTTCAGGCTCATCAAGCATTGAATTAAAAGACGAAATTACTGGATCAGTTCGTTTAGTAGGTGCTCACTCCCTGTCAAGTGGTTCTAGTTTGACAGCTCAAACGGCTCTAACAATATTCTTTTTGTTAGTAGTTCTGCTGCACAACTATCTATTCAACTGGTAAAATCTGGTCAGTATTAGCTTCTGGTGTACCTGAGACGAGAATTGTTCGTTTGACTGTGAAAATAACTTTTCAAAGTATTGATACAGCAGCTTGTGGCTGTCGACCGGGTGTGCATATTTTACATTCAGAATGGACTGCAAAAGCAAAGCTGAAATATAGAACAGATTAACAGAAAATTCCATTTTGTATGTAGCTGGCTTATGTTGCAAAATGCATACTGTAAGTAGAACTCTGGATATATTTTCTGTGTTCCGCTTGTTATAACACAAGTTTCTTGACGAATTAAATTGTCTTAATAGCTTTTTTGCTTTAAAAAAAAAGGGCAGCCTAGTGTACAAGGTATCCCGCATTCACGCAGGATCTGAGAAAGGGCCGCACCCCAAGGGGTGTGATGTAGACATCCTACCCTATTGCAAGCATTAGTGACTGCTTCTATGGCTCGAACCCGTGACCTATAGGTTAGACGGAGATAACTTTTCACTTCACAAGTATTAAAATATTTATCTGATATCTGCTTGTAGCAAAACTATATCTGTGATAAGCTTGTGAGATTACCTCATTTCCAGTTTACTGGAAGTTTACAAGGAACAGTAATACTAGAAATTCCTTCAAACGTTTTTTATTTTACAAGTCTCAAAACTTTTTCTATGAAATATTTCGAAGCTGTATGATGAGTTTGGTTTTGGTATCTTGTGCAAGTAGGAAAATACCAATACCTGAGTTTCCATTTAAATTTTTACGTCAAGTTTGTCCTGTGGTGAAATTTGTTTTTTTCCCCGTACAATATCTCAAACCAAACTGAGCGAGTTTTCTATGTGGTTGATGTTTTAAAATCTATTAGTATGTGGTAATATTCAAATAGAAACTGCATCTCTATCTTTACAAGATAGGGAGAAGAACTACATCCGATGGATCCACCAATTTTTAGGCCAATTAAAGTCCGTAATCCAAATCCAGAAAAATCATCATGTATATAAACACACGAAAAAATGGACCTAATCATTAATTCCTGTTTCGTGACCTTATGAACCTATGAAAATTCAAGTCAATCGGAGTCTGTCAATTTTTTTTACACAAAAAAGTGAATAATAAAAAATAATCAAAAATTCATATTGTATGACCCCAAAAATCCTAAAAAGAACCCGAAAGTAATGGCGATCCGATGAAATTGATCACTACGCCAGTTCATATGAACATACAAAAATTCAAGCCAATCGGAGTCCGCAAAAAAATAAAAAATCAAATTTTCGTGTGTTATAAGTCCATGCCATTTGCATGAATACGGGAGACCAACGCCGAATCTCCTAAAATATTACGGGTCCATAAAAAAATGACCTAATGAACAATAGTCATTGTTTCACCATGATCGTTCCTCGATTTTTGGCGTTTTAGGGCCATAAAACAAGAATTCAGGACGATTCCCAAATTTTCGTGTGCTATATTCCGCGCCATCTACTTGAATTCGGGTGACCGACCCCGAATCTCCTAAAATTTTGCGGTCCCATAAAAAACGACCTAACAAACAATAGTCATCGCTTCGCCATGACCACTCCTCATTTTTGGCGTTTTAAGGCCATAAAAGAGGAATTCAGGACTATTTTCAGACTTTCGTGTGCATAGTTCATGCCATCTGCATGAATTCTGGCAACCAGCCTAGAATCTCCTAAAATTTTGCAGGCCCATAAAAAATGACCTAATGAACAATATTAATCGCTTTGCCATGAACTTCCTCATTTTTTTGGCGTTTTAGAATCATAAAACAGGAATTCAAGATGATTCTCCCATTTCCGTGCGCTATAGTCCACGCCATCTGCATGAATTCGGGCGACTGGCCCCGAATCTCTTAAAATTTTGCGGGCCCATAAAAAAGTCCTAATGAACAATAGTCATGGCTTCTCCATGAATGTTCCACGTTTTTTACGTTTTACGGCAATTAAACATGAATACAGGACGATTCCTAGATTTTCATGTGATATAGTCCATGCCATCTGCATGAATTTGGGCGACCGGCCCTAAATCTCCTAAACTTTTGCAGGCTCATAAAAAAGACCTAATAAATAATAGTCATCGCTTCACCATGACCGTTTCTCGTTTTGTGGAGTTTTAGGGCCATAAAACAGGAATTCAGGACGATTCTAAGATCTACGTATGCTATATAGTCCACGCCATTTATATGAACTCGGGCGATCAGACTCGAATCTCCTAATTTTTTCGGGACCATCAATATCGGCCTAATGAATAATAGTCATCGTTTCGCCATGACCGTTCCTAGTTTTTGCGTTTAGGGCAATAAAATAGAAATTCAGGATGATTTTTAGATTTTCGTGTGCTATAGTCCACGCCATCTGCATGAATTCAGGTGACCGGTCTGAATCAACTAATATTTTGCGGGCCCGTAAAAAATGACCTTATGAATAATAGTTATCACTTTGCCTTGAGCGTTCTTCGTTTTTTGACGTTTTAGGGCCATAAAACAGAAATTCAAGACGATTTCCAGATTTTCGTGTGCTAGAGCCCGTTTGGATTGGCTTATTTTTAGGCTTTTAAACCAAAATAACTTTTAAGCCATTTTTTTAGTGTTTGGATAAAGTAAAAAAAAAAAATGCTTTTAAGCACTTATTTTTGAGCTAGAATGACAAAAACAAGCCAAAAGTTAGAATTCCTAACTTATTGGCTTATGCTTAAAAGTCACTTAAAAGAAGCTCATCCAAACGGGCTCATAGTCCACGCCATCTGCACGAATTCGGGCGTCCGACCCTAAATATCCTAAAATTATGCAGTCCCATAAAGAACGAACAATAGTCATTGTAACGACTCAGCCGGTCGTTTTGAGAATTTAAGTCCCGTCCGACGGCATAAGGCCCTAAGCAGCTTCATATTATATGTATTAACTTGCGTGTGTGGTTGAATTCAGTTACCGGATATCTCAGAGTGATTTGGGACACTTAGTCCCTAAAACAAAAGCTTAAGTCTTAGGATTTTGACCCTAGTCGGAACTATGTGAAGATGGCTCGGTAATGGAGTTTCATCGGTTCCATTAGCTCTGTTGGGTGATTTTAGACTTAGGAGCGTGTCCGGACTGTAAATCCGAGGTCTGTAGCTGATTTAGGCTTGAAATGGCGAAAGTTAAATTTTTGGAGATTTGGACCAGAAGTGAACTTTTTGATATCTGGGTCGGAATGCGATTCCGAGAGTTGGAACAGCTCTGTTATATTATTTGGGACTTGCCTGCAAAATTTGACGTCATTTCGGGTTGATTTGATAGGTTTCGGCACGGGTTTTAAAAGTTGAAAGATTTGAAATTTATAAGTTCGATTCATAGTGCGATGAGTACTTTCATCGTTAGTTGATGTGATTTGAGGGCTCGACTAAGTTCGTATGGTGTTTTAGGATTGGTTGGTATGTTTGGTTGAGGTCCCTGGGGCCTCGGGTGAGTTTCGGGTGCTTAACGGATTAAAAGTTTGATTTGTGTTACTGCTAAGTCTTCAGGCTTCTGGTATTTTCGCATCTGCGGTGAAGAGACCGCAGGTGCGAGAGAGCACGTGCGGAGAGGCAAGCGCAGAAGCAGAAAAATGGAAGAGTTCCAGGGGCCGCAGGTGCGAGAAAAATTCCGCATCTGCGATGCCCGCAGATGCAAAGATTGAGGCGCATGTGCGAGAAGAGCTGGACTTGACAGTCTCCGCAGGTGCGGAGAAATTGTGTGCATTAGATACTCCACAGAAGTGGATTTTGGAGCGTAGAAGCGAGAGGAAGCGCAGGTGCGAGTTGGGCGTGCGCACCTGTGGTCGCGCAGAAGCGGTCACGCCTGGGCAGAAAAGAGAAATTCGAGGGTTTGGTTTCATTCTTCATTTTTGGACTTGAGAGCTTGGAATTTGGCAATTTTTCAAGGGATTTTCAGAGGAAGCTTTGGGGTAATGATTCCTAACTCGTTTTTGGTTGTATTGCATTAATCTATAGTTGTTTTTTCCATTTAGTTTCGGATTTTTGGGGTTGAAATTGGGATAAATTGGAAGAACTTCTTCAATAAAGATTTTGAGTTTTGAAAGGGAATTTATGGTCGGATTTGAGTAATTCTTATATGGTTGGACTCGTGAGCGAATGGGTGTTCATATTTTGTGATTTGTACCCGATTCCGAGACATGGACCCAGGTCGACTTTTTAGGGTGAATTCAGAATTTTTATTAAATATTGATTTCATTGATTAGATAAGTCTATTATTGTTGTATTCATGTTATGCAATTGTGTTTGGCTAGATTTGGGCCATTCAGAGTCGGATAATTGAGGAAAAGGCATTCTTACGGACTGTTTGATCTTGGTTCGAGGTGAGTATCTTGCCTAACCTTGTGTGAGGGAATTTCTCCTTAGGATTTGAGTCTTTTATGTTGATTGTAGCCCGTGTGCACGAGGTGACGAGTGCGTGCACAGACTTAATTGTGGAACGTTGGCCTTTTAGGATTCTAAGGTCCTTATATTCACTGAGTATGGAGTTGTTCTTGATATGATTAAGTTCCTATTTACTAGTTTCGCCTCTACATACTTTAATTAAAATTAATTGCTTTCAGGATTCACTCTTATTGCGTATTTGACTCTAATTTGACTTAACTGAAGATTTTACCTCCTCTATTGTCATGCTATCTTTTCATAACTGTTTATCTTTATTTGAAATTATTATTGTATCATATTATAATTTGTTCAGTCTTAATTGAGGTTATGATTATCTTTCCGCTACTTATCCTTAATTTAATTGTTGAAAATCCTTAGTAAGTTCTCAACCTTAAAAGAAGTTTTAGATATCATATGTCTTAGTCAACTTGTTTTATTTGGAATTATTTGACTCATGTTAGTTTACCTGTTGTTGAAATATATATTATGGGATCGTTGATACATATTAGTTTCCCTTTTGTTGAGTTGTTCTCTTTACGCCTATCATTCTTTACTATGGTTGTTCCTTATGATTTGGTCCCACATTTTTCCTGTGATTTAAAAGTTCTTGAGTTAATTTACTTGTCGTACTTTATATTATTGCCATTGTTATTGTTGTATTTGTTGTGGTGATGCACAAGGTTTTTATCGTGCGGTTGTTATTATTGTGATGCACGAGGTTTCTGCCGTGCGGTTGTTGTTATGGTGTTGCACGAGGTTTCTGTTGTGCTATTGTTACTATTGATATCTGTACATGCGGCGTGACAAGGTGGGATATATATATATGTGTGGGTTGTGCATGTGGCGAGACAAGGTGGGAACATTATTATGCACGTGTGGCGATACAAGGCGGCCATTTATGTTACTATTGCACACGTGGCGAGATAAGGTGGGATGTGTTAAGGATTGGTTTGTGATGATTTGTGGCCTGGGGGCATTCTTGTTGATATTTGTGAAGTGGTATACATACCTGTGTGAGCTTTATCTTGTGAAAGCTATGAGAAAATATTCTACGTGTTGTCCGTTCTTTTT